ATATACATATATATATATATATATACATATATATATATATATACATACACACATACATATATATATATACACACATACACACACACACTGTATATATGGAGTGATTATAAAAACGGCGCCCAATAACACCACAGATTAGATTAGTTCTCAGCATTTTAGGCAGTTTATTTGAAAAACACATACAAAAAGATCATATACAAGACAATAAATAAAAAAGAGACAGAACAGTTTGGGTTAAGCTATGCAACTTTTTGCATCATCATTAGTAATAAATACAGTACAAAATCCACCCAGAGTGAATCTAAAGATTTTCCACAATATTCACTGATCATGTTATTCTTCATTATGATTTAGCTATTGCTTTCATATTATTGATACATACTTCTACTTTTCTATAAAATACTCAAGATCATAAAACATTGCGCGGTTACAGCAAAACAGCAGTGTGTTGTACAAAGATGGCCACTTCCCTTTTTCACTGGCAGGTTAATAATCAACATTTTTTCAGCAGCAAAGAAACATCAGAAATATTCAAGAAGGTACAGCATCATAATAAACACATCTACAGAGCTACTCCCACATACACATAGGAAAACCTGAGAAGGACATGCATTAAAAAGCTTGTGCTTTAAGTTCTACTGTTCATTCCGGTTCATCAGCTTGAGTTAATACTATGGCTACTGTCCAGGTCGCTCTGGAGTGATGGGGTACACTGTGGAGGACATGGGGTAAGGCCAGTGAGAGCACGAAATGGAAATTATAATAAGACCAGCCAGCTTTGTTTCCAATCCAATACACGTTATAATAATTTGCAGGATTAGTAGAGTATTAATAAGAAATGCACACCGAAAACGTTGTTAGCTTATTATACCCAGGTGTGAAACACGTTATCTATATTGTATCACCACAGTACACCAGAAATTTGCTCAATAAGACCAATGGCTCAAGTTAGCATGTTAGATACTTCCCAAAATCCCACACAAAGCGTTTGCCAGCAATACATAAGGACAAATAATAGAGCTCAATATGTGGTTCCTAAAATAATACGCGCAAAATTGAGATCCAGATATGATGGAATAATCATGAACATGATCAAAATAAAAGGAATATCTCAAATGAAATCAAATAAGACTGATTATGGGAAACGAAGCAGTATCCTATAACAAAAGCAAGCTAATTGTGGAGCCATACTAAGACAAAGAAAACGGGCTGTACCCAGTAATCTGCTTCAGATCAAAGCGGGGGTGGTGTTAAATAAATGAAGAGATTTAATAGTCAAATCAAGAGGTGACATGAATGGAATGTAATCCAGATCAACAGCACCATGCTGGCTAGAAAATGTGTTGGGTAAACACCCCCAGTCAATTTTTCAACAGGTTTCTTTTTTTTTTCCCTTTGAAAAAGAAAACACAGACGGCATGCAAAAGCATCCCCACCGACCAATGCATAATGAGGTATTCTTTTTTTTTTTTATATATTTTGTGTTATTTTAAATAAATATATTGATTAAATTGCAAAGTTATGAGATAGACACATTAAATATTCCACCACGATAGCTAGCTAGCTACAGTTAGTAATAAATAATGATTGTTAAATACTTAAGGCATCTTTAAATCACAGCATTCTATGTGAACTAGCAAAACCTCCATTTTCATCCATCTGTAGTTTTTTGGATGGAGGTTTCATACGAAAAGAAAAAAAACAAACGCAATACAAACAGTCAAGTTACCCTCCAATAATACACAAGGAAGCATGAAAAGAAACACAAAATCTAGGACAAGAACCCACACCACCAAACCAAAAAAATTAGGCAACTCCATATTATAGTGCATTTACAAAACACAAGCTACATTATAACAACAATAAATATGTTTTTGCAGCATTGCAGCTTTTTCTTCACTATGGTTAAAATGGACAAGGACTCGGCATATTAGTACCATGTCCAAATTGGCATGTGAGCAAAAAAAAAAATAATAAAACCAAGAAGAAAAAGAAAAATGGCAGAAAAAGACGATTGAAAATAAGAATTTATGTTAAGAACAATTGTTTGGTATTTTTCAAATGGATGGCTTTTTCTCCCTTTCACCCTCCTTCAAGTGAACTACGCCGACATGGTTCATGCATGATATAGAGAAAAACGGCTTCTATCACTGAACGTCTCACAGTTGTTCTAGCAATACCATACACCACAACCATGAGGGGGAGGCGGGTGGGGGACAATCATACACATTCTAGCACATATCACAGGCAAACTAGTTTGTATTTCCCCTGTAACACCAGACATAGTCTTGTAATCATAACAGTGGGAGCAACTTATATTGAAATGAAAAGGAGCCGATAAAACAACAGAGGCGATTCACTGTATATAGAAATCACATGTGCTTGTTTGATAGGCAATAAGGTTCTGGTAATAGGTAATACAAATGTCAGATTTGATTCACTCCGATGGCAAGACCTCAGGCACTGCATCCTCGAGCCCATGCCGGCCTCTCACATCATATGATCATGCCATGAGCGAGGCAACAGAGAGGAGTTGCAGTTAGACACGGATCTGCTGGCAGCTCTTTGAGTCCTAACCTCCAAACATCAGGAGAGAAGTGCTACATTGGGCTAAGATCGGTGTCTAAGGGCAACTTGGTCTACTCGGGATGAGTGTGTGTGGGGTGGGGGGGGGTGTTAGGTGCATTTTTGTCCTCCTCTATGAATGAGTGGGATCGTCAGAGTCATAGTATACGGTTCACATGCACAGACACACAGTCCCTGTTTCTACTGCTCCACAATATTAACGACACAGCCCAAGCCTGCCATACAGCATGCACATCTGAGGCCTCTGCTCTAGATAATAGAGGCCCGACTACAACACTACACAGATCACTGGAAGCCATGCCTGCAGTTAGTGGGTTTTTGCATCAACTCTGATGGCATCTAACTGTAAATTCAAAACCATGTTAGACAAGAAAGAGGGATTTTTGGCCTTTTTTACACAACTAGCTCTTTCCTCATTGTCTATGATTAATCAACACGCTGAAAGTTCTCTTATTTGAGCCGTATTTGACCTCTCTGTAGGTTCATTTTTCACAAACATATTTCTCAAAAGGCTTTTGCTTGCTACACAACACTGTTACTCTGTAAATACTTATTCAGTACTATACTCCATTACACCACAAGCGTTCAGCTACGAGAGTTCACACCAAACAACCTCATGCTAATCATTTGATTATGTTCTGTACAGATGTGCTGAGAGCTTGGGCAGAGTGCAGCTTAAAGGATTTTTTTTCACAGGCCGGGGGGAGGGGGGGTGTTTAGCTGTAGTGGCAGAGAAATGGCCTTAATACGCCACACTGAGCTGGGGAGGTTGGTAGTCAGAGTGTCCTCTCGTGATGGCTGTACGGAGAAATGCACACAGTGTACACAATCTGACAGAATCTGTGTGTGAAGTCTCAGCACATCTGTCCATATATATATGTCCGCTCCTACCTTTTACATCCAGCAAGTCCATTCAAACCAACCTTCAGTCCAGCCACCTATCTATGCATCAAACCCCCCATCGCTCGCTGTGTTGTAGGTGAGTGTGCTTTGTTGATCCATCTGTCACAGCTGTCTCAGAAGGCAGGCTCGTTGGGTGATGCAGAGGAGAAGAGAGGGGCGTTTGGCAGAGCGTCCCCCGGAGGGACGCGATGAAGAATTAACAAGACCAGATCGAAAGCTGCGGGAGTCGAACAGGAGCTATCAACTGTCGGGGGTCAGTTGGGTCTCAATGTCCACTCTGCAGATGGGGCACTTCCTGCTGGTGGCCAGCCACTGGTCCACACACCCCTGGTGGAAGAGGTGCATGCAGGGTAATCTCCTACAGACACAGATGAGACACGGTCAGGATTTAACATAAATGCAGGAATCCACTTCAAGGAAATGTTCTGCAACATTCAAACGCTGCCCTTTGAAAAGTAGTTAATCTCTGAAATGTCAACTTTACTCGTGAGGAAAGATAAACAGATGTGTTTTCAGCTGTGTGACGGTGCACTTTTCTGATATTTCAACAGGTTTTTTCATAGTTTATTAATGTCAAAGTAGGAAAATGTTCAGATTATCTGGAAAAAAAATTCTTCAGATTATCTAAATAAATAAGAAAATCTAAATCATCAAATTTGGACGTACATCATTGTTACTGGAAAGCTTCACTTTGCACAAGTCTTTTGTTATCAAAGCAACCTTTTAGATTATGATACGGGTTTGTGATTGTGATGGGTAAAATAATAATTTGTATTTCAATGACGCTTAATTGGATCTTGATCTATGTCACACCACTATTACCTTAATAATGATTTTTTGTGTCTTCGATACTCTTCTACTTTGATCAACAGAAAAAATAATCAAAGTATTTTGACAATCAAGTAATTTGTCATTTTTTTGTATCAAAAATGTCAAAAACAGCTCTGAGTCCAGCTTCTCTGATGTGAGGATTTGTTGTTTTGACTAAGCTAAATATCTATTGCTTGTGTTATCAGATCAATAGTCTGAAGATATTTAGTTTAGTCATATCAATTTACCTTTTTTTTCAGACATTGGATGAAATTAGTTTGAAGCTGTCCCCTGCCTGTTCTTCTTTCCTCTTTTTTAATTTTCACAGAGTAAAATAACTTCCTGTGTAACTTCTCCACTGAGAGAGAGATCAACACACTGGACACTCATCCTAAAGTTGTGTGAAATGCTAATGTTGCCTTCAGGCGGTATTTTCAAGATGAGGTACTGTAGGAAGTCCTGTGATCGGATTTCGAAACCTGATGCTTTGAACTCGCGTGGCAGAACCGATTCAGGATTATAAACTGTGTATCCATTCAGAAGGAAGGCATTGCAAATAGATGTAAATAAGCAAATGTTGTCTGGGTAAATTAGACATTTTTATAACGTCTGTCTCCAGGATTTTCAAGCCGTTGGGCAAGAAACAAATATAAGGAATATCTACTAATCACCATCAAATTCACCAAAGTATTCCTCTTTTGGAGAACAAGACTAATGCACAGGGTACAGCTGAGATTTGGGGAATGCCATTAGTTCTGCTGCTATTTACTCATGAACCAAAATTCTTTGAAAATTGAATATTTCGAACTGCTGGTGGCGCTATGGGAAAAGTTGGGGGGGGGGGACCACCTAAGTGATTAGGATCCATCCTCTTGGGACCATGATTGCGTGTACAAAATTTCCTGACAATCTGCCAAATAGTTTTTTGGACATTTTACTCAACACCAAAAAAGTCAACCTGCAGGTGGCATTGGGGGAAAAGTGAGAGGAATCACTAAAGTCATTAACATTCATCCTATCCTATGAATAAAAAAATGGCAAGGCAATCAATTCGATAGTTATTAAGATATTTCAATCTTGATTAAGGTGCTGGACTGTCTGTCATTGCCATACTAGTACTTTAGATTTGCTATCAGCTGTATGTAACTGAGGACATCTGAACATCTGCATAACCAGCACTTCCTCCTTGCAAAAGTTGATCGCATAGTTGTACCTGACATCCTCGCTATCCTCCAGCATTGACAAACAGATGGTGCACTTCTCATCGGTGTCCAGCTCCTCATCATCCAGACACATCTTCAGGTCCTGGGGTATTCTCTGCAGAGAGAGAGAGAGAGAGAGAGGGGGAGAGAGAGAGAGGGAGAGAGAGAGAGAGAGAGAGAGGCAGACAGACTTTAATTATTAAAGTGCTTCGTGCAGCTGTGTGTTAGGAGCTGACATATTTATGCCAAGGGTGTTTCTCAGTCAGCCCAGACGAAGAAGAAGAAAAGAGTCACCTCATCGTGCATCCCAGAAAAAAAAAAAGAGACATCAGATGGAAAAGACTCAATTACTTCTTCTCACTCACAATGTACCAAATAATCTGACAGAGTATTTGGGTCACAGTCAGTGTAGACGGTTTTTAAAATTCATTCCACGCGCCTATCTGCAGACAGCTGGATGACTCATCCCTCGCCTTGAATTGTGCACACTGCAGACCCGTCTTCCTAATCTGCTAACTGAAATTAGTTTGACCTTTGAACTATTATGAGAGTCGCGACCCCTCTTTTCCCCTCTCGTTGACACTCTTTGATCCTTTCGACCCGGCGCTTCCATCCCCATCCTTCAGCCCAATGCCTTGGTCCGTCCGTACCAGACCACATCAAAAAGTTTCCTCACCCAGCTAGCAGGTAAAAGGCGGACCCTTTTTCCTTTTTTTTTTTTACCTTCTTGTACTTATGGGGGAAGGTGAATCTCTCTATGGTGGTTTGGACTGCTCCCCGGTTTACACTGCCCAGCCTGTCCTCCAGCTGCAAAAGCTCCTAGAGAGGAAACAACATATGCACATGTCTTTGAATTATTTCAGGTTCAAGTTTAAAGTCTGAACAAAAGGCATTTCTGTATTTGCCTGCCGAGATAAACAAAAACAAAAAACACATTCAAATGCAAAAGACATGCAAGTGTGGAATGATGAAATTAAATTGGTGCTTCAAGGAACAGGAAAGAGGCTCTCAGAAAACAATTGCATCTTGTTTGAAATGAAAAACGTCATGAGATTAAAGGCAGTTGGACCATTCGAGGCATCTGGAAGTTGGAGTAAATCAGTTATACACTCAAGCCTGTCCAGAGCATTGGTCACAGAGGCAACAATGATAAATGAGTGTAGACTGGTGCGTCTGCTGAGGAGGAGGAGGAGGAGGAGGAGGAGGAGGAGGAGGAAGCTGTAGGTACGAACCTCGTAGCTCTCTCTAACGGCAGACGCGTGGCGGGAGGGGTTGAGACTCTGCAGAGCCAGCAAGTGCAGCTGGGGATATGGGTAGTTTCTGATCTCATGGACAACCTGGAAGATGACAGTTAAAAGAAGCTTGCATCAGCTCTGCAGCATGCAGCAGGGAAAAGTGGAGCATCCCCGGTTGCTGGGTTTGGAGGTTATTCTCAGACACCCAGAGGAGAGTCGCTGGGAGTTCATCGAGACTAACATGATTGATCGTACTGAGGCAGAAGGAGCTCACCACTTGTGTTGAGGCGTTGTTTCTGGGGAAATGGTGCATCCTGGGAGAGGTCAAGTAGTGCTGATAGTGCTGCGGCAGTGGGTGGATGTGATACTGGTGGGGGGGCAACCCAGCATCGACACTTAGATCCCTGAACAGAAACCAAAAAAAACAAGTCAGGCAGTGGAACTCAAGTCATTATTTCACCGTGTTTGTGGCTAATTATCTTTTGATAAAAGTAGATTACGCATAACTACGCTTTTGAGCTTCAGCTTTCTCCAGCTGCTGTGGGTAACTCTACTGCTCTTTTGCCCTATAGAGCTCCTTGTAAAGACAGGTACAATGCTTATTGCCAATGTTAGTGTCTTTTAAACTTGGTCTGAAAGCCCTTTCATCTTTTCATGACCCAGATATGGTCAGCTGCAGTCAAACTAAGAAAAGCTGACAAAAAAAAAGGATGTCTCAAGTATCATTGGTCCAGAAATAAACTGTGTAAAATGTAGTGTAATTTCTGTTAGTATGAAATCTAAACCTACATCATGATAACTGCTTTTTTTCTGACAAAAACAAAGTCACTGATATTGTTTGCCTCTGTAGCGCTGCGTACTGTCTATAAGAAACTATTCATGTTACATTTGGTGAAATGCACAGTGAGACTTGCTTTTTTTTTTCTCGACACCACATTGAACAATCTGTGTGAAAATGAATATTATATTGTTTTGTATAAGACTTTGTTGGTTTGAAATCTAAAGTTACATCATGAAAATGAATTTTCTAACAAATAAAAAAAATAGGCGAGACTGTTTGCCTCTGTGGTGCTGCTGCATACTGTATTATATATATTAGAGGTATTGCTCACCAGTCTGTGCCCTCAGCCAGGTAGCGGGGCTGCTGCACCACAGGCTGAGGAGGGACATGAAGAGGGGGAGCAAACTCATAGCTGGGCCGCAGTCTGTGGGGCTGGTGAGGAACTCTCTCTGGGGTGCGTCTACTAAGACACATAACCAAGCATGTTTTATAAATCCTCGGATCTTACTGTAAACATAATAATTGTGTCTTTCATTTTATCCTGTACTTTTAAATTCCCCAGAAAGCCTGTGTGGATACCTGGAGGGAGGCAGGATGTGTCGGTGCTGGGCCTCGAGGATCTGCTGCTGGAGGAGGTATTGCTGGTGTAATGCCTGAGGTAGGAAGGGAGGGGCGGGGATGTCCTGGAACTGGGGGGCTGGCAGGGCGTTGAGGGGCGGGTGGAGCGGAGGGCCATGCTGGTGGCCGGGGGGGGGCCAGGTGGGGGTTAATGCCTGACTGCGGCTGCCCTGGGTGGGGCATGGGGAAGTCCATGGGCAGCGGGGCCTGAGGACCTAACTGGAAGTGCCGGCAAGAGGTAGCATGGCTGTGCTGCTGCTGCTGCTGCTGTTGCCGGTTGAAATGGGATCCTGTGGAGGATAAGGAGAAGTTGTAAGGCACCTGAAGGGAGAGATTAGATGGCATTAATTGTGGGTGAAATGTGGTGTCACTGTGTGTGTGTGATATAGCATGTTAATGAAGCCCTACCTCTTACCTAGGGTGAAAAATACTTCTGTGGGGGTGGGGAAATGACGGTTACCACAAGTACCATGAACACGACGACCATTTTTGGTCCTGCACACAATACGCGAGCTTTTCATTTCTTTAATCGCATTTCCGACCGCTGGATCGACTCCTGGTCTTCCGATTCACAGACAAGCGAACTGGATCAGAACAGATGAAATCTACCAGTGTACGGTCTTCAACGTGGCTCGGTTCTTGTAAATTCTGCAGCTGACAGTGGGTCAGAGCAGCCCGAGTAAAACCTTTAGTACCTGCCTGTCTATAAGATACACACACTGTTTAGGGAGCCACATCTCTATTGAGCACTAAAGAACAATACCTTCCTTCTTATGAATAAAACCAAACATTATTTTACATCCGTGCTTCACTGAAACCTTCTGTATCCTTACACATACAGCATCGCCCTACATATTATCTCATATGAACATTTCGGAGTTGAGAGGAAATAGCGTAAATGCTTTTTCAACCCTCTCCAACCACAGCTATTTGGCAAATGCAGCGAGCGGACTGCTGTGGAGACTCAACAGGGAGAAAAATACAGACGAACTTGTGCTGTGGTGCAATGTGGTTTTAATAATGTGCTTATATTAAAAAAAATACTTTTTTGATTATGCACAGGCTGAGAAATTGCAATAATAAATTTCGCTTTTTAGAACTTTTGAGGAAATCCTGGCAGGATTCACTGTGCTCCGTTATGTCCATCTGGCAGAAAGTGAAGCAGTGAATTTAGTTTAGACATTTAGAAATTGTGCAGTAAAATTCCAGCACGGTTTGAATTGAATCTGCTTTGACAGCGTAAAAGAGATGACGAATTCTAAAGTAAACAGTGAAAATATTTTAGAAAATCATGAGGAAATAGGCAAAGTCTACATTGCATTTACTAAGAGTACGCTTGAAAAACGCAGTAGGAGTTTAAAAACACACCCAGCAAAAGAGAAGCAGTGTGACCTTCCAGCAATATTTTCAGGTCGTCAGTGTTGCCGGGCAGACAAGACATGACCTTGCTGCTGCGGGTCAAAGGCTCAAGTCTAGACTGTAACACTGCGTTTTCAAGCGCCTCAGTGAAAACGATTACCATGAATGACAGCAGATAGACTCATTCAGGCCCTGTGATGGAGGAAGCGTGGAAATTGTCTATCTTTGTCACAGCGGGCGAGGAGGTGGGTGGAGGGTGGAGGGGGGGGCAGGTAGGGACAAGGACAATAAATGGAAATCAGCAAGAAGCACACTGAAGGTTAGGAAAAACACTATATTCTTTATTGAAAAATATTAGTATATGTGGAATTTGTTTTTTTTTTCTTTTTTATAATAATAGTATAAATTCATGCAACAAAAATAAACAACATAGACTGAAGGCAAGGCCCACCATGCTCCATATAGGGTTAAAAAGAACAAAAGCGGCATCCAATGAGCAGACGTGTTGGCTACAGCACATGATTTCAGTACAGCAGGGTACATCTTTACTACAGAAAGATTACATTGGATTTTCCCTAGTCAATGTAGAAAAACAAAAAATTATGAATCATAAATGTGACCATGCATTGAAAGTACTATTACCAGAACAAAAGGTAAAGAGAGACCACAACCAAACAATAAAAGACGTTATTACTAATAGAGGATCTCTTTAGCAGTGCAGGAAAATAGGCATCCCTGTGAAATGGATAGCATTTTGGCCTTATGTTAGTGGGGGGAAATTGGGAAGTGATGAACCACCAGTGAGCATGTTTTTGCTTCCGTAAATGTTTAGAGTTTCATTTGCCCGTAAGGGGCAAGCAGCCCTGACAATTCAGTGTGATTCGAAGCTTGGAATTTGCAAAGGGAACAAAAAGGATTACACAAAAATGGAGACAGTTATGGCAGGTTGTTGTGTGCAGGTGCAGTGTACCTTCAATCAATTTTAAGTGATCACATGACAGCATTGGATGGAATGCTGTGTTTTAACAATAAAAAATGACATGCATATGGTTCCAATTTGCATGCTATTTTTTTTAAATTACAGGTCACTTTAATCATGTACATTGCACCTTGTGTGAAGAGAAGGAAGATGAGCCAAATTCTGGTGTTCAACAATGCAGTGCAGTATTTAAGATCATGCAAAATGTATCCACTTTACAGGAATTTACAGCATGTTGTCTATCAAGACTGGATGGGAAGTACACAATGACATTCAACTGATTTCTAAAAAAGGAGCTAAAATGTTCACTCAGTGCTACAGCAATTTGACAGAAAGAAAGACAAAAAAAAAGGTGCTCTGATCTAGGTGTTAGCTATTGTTTTAGTCTGCTTAACATGGAAAGTCTATGACTGAATACATCTTGGGAGGGGGGTGCTTTTTAATACCAATGTCGTCTTCTGATGGAAAGAGGAAATGAAGAAGGGATTCACAATACAGCTAAATGCAGAGAACAGGCAGAGGCCACGCCACACCACACAGCAGCAGATGATCATTAGCTACACAATGGGGGGGACGACAAAGATCTGATAAATGCAGAATGTAGAGGCAGCCTCCATACTATGAAACAGGGAAATAAGAACAGAAATAAAAGCACAATGAAATCATTGATGCCACTGTTATGAAATTAATGTTACACTGTAGCTTTACCATTTTTTAACTGGGACCACATCACGTTACTTGGGTCTTTTTTTTTGCAATTCGGCAGCTTCAAACAAACAGCTGCTGAATTGCCAATTAGCAAATATAAAAAAAGGCGACTGATACTTTAATGGCTCGGAAGTCCACGCTCCTCGGGCCATCGGCCATGTATCGATTAGTCCATTGGCCAACTGACACGGATAATAATTACTGAAATCACGCTGGAACAAGAGCGAGCGCGAGCAAAAGCAGATGATCTTCAAATGACATCATCCAGGCACAGATAAGCTGACTGGCTGGAAAGGCTACGTCTATTTTGCGGTGTTTTTACGGTGCAAATACACGGTAGCGCCTCGGGGGAAATTACAATACATCGTAATGTTACTGAAATAACAAATCGCACCAGTTAAATATGTATCAGAGTTACATTGTCTATCACGATTGTCTATGCGACATATCTGCTGTTTTGGACAGCACGCCCCGTGGATGTGAAATCCTTTGTGAGGAATGTTTCCGTTCCAGTACATAGCCGGTGCCAACGAGACAGTTAGCTTATCTTTAGCGGCGGTATTTTTCGTGATTTACACGAAATGTCGCCAGAAAAACAACATAATTCGGTGGTTTGTAATAATGTGCTGCGAATACAAATCACGTTACCGGCGTTTTTTCGCGAATAATTTGACGTTAGTTTTAAGCTAGCTAAAGCGAGCTAACCCGACGGCTAAACTCGAGCTAGCTAGCCAACAGCTGCAGTGAATATTAAGATAAACAGGGCACATGTTTTGGATCGATATGAATATTAATACCGTACCTCTGTTTCTTACTGAGCCGAATACAGGAAGAACCAGATATCCGACATGCACTAAGACCATCCTGGGATCCTTATCTTATGATTCCGCTGGGTTATTTGTAGAGAAAGAGTAGTAGTAGCCCATGCGGATCTACATTCATGCGGCTGGTTGTTGCTGACTAGCACCACAGGCAAAACCCAACGACTGTCTGACTCGCTCGGTTGTCGTTGACAAAAGCAGACATGTCGTTCGATGTCCCGGGCTAAAGAGGGCGATGTTGCGGCGCTTCACACCAAAGCTGGAGGTTTCTCTCGGTTAAACCTATCAAGCCTTGTCAACTGATCTTGATTAAAAAAAATAATATTAAATCAGCTGTTGTTTAATGTTTTTGGAGAAAACCATTCACAGAACATTTAACATCTGTATCCACGTTATCTAAGAATGTACAATGAGAGCAAAATAACCCGAGTAAAACGTCCTGGTGTGTGTACTCAAACCTGGCCAATTAGGCTGATTAAGACTCTGACTTTTATCCTGATCAAACCACAGACAGCTCAAGGTTAAGCTACAAAAACTCTGGCTCCTACATTTCCCAGGGTGCAACGTAACCGCGTGTCATTAGACCCCCTCTCAGCTCCTAAATTAACAATAACTTAATGTTCTGCCCATCCATTTACATACACAGTATAGGAAATTAATTAAGTACATTTACTCAAGTACTGTACTAACGTACAATTTGGAGTAACCATTTAAATGTTATGCTACTTTACATTTCAACTTCACTACATTTAAGAGGGAGTATTATATTCTTAATCCATTACATTTATCTGACACATAACACATGATATTTTATTTATTGCTTTATTTGATAAGGGACAGTGCACATCAATAGAAACATTGCTGTAAATGCGCCAGAGTTAGCCAAGAGGCTATTTTTCATCCGTAGTCCCAAGCCAGATGTTACAAAGTAAACCTAAAAACAGATTTAAGATTTCATTTACAAAGTTATGCAATATTGACCCTTTACAATGCGTGCAGAAACAATAAAAGAAATGAGAATATTAATATATCAGGATATCAGGATTCAGGATACTCTTATACTACATTGTCAAGTACTAACAAGACATGCAACACAGAGTGATATATATTCTATGTTAAAGTATAAGTTTAAGGGACCACTCTGCCCAAAAAGTACTTTTACTTTAAGAACACTTTGCTGTTAATACTTTTGTACCTTTACTTCAGTGAACTCTTGAATGTAAGACCTTTACTTGTAACATATTGTTTTTAAAGAGCGGTATAGGATACTCGTCATTTTACTTAAACGATATGCGCTCTATATTGTAAAATAGAGTCGACCAGCTTCGTCCAAAGTAAAGCTGTGGGGGTGCGTGTTGCGTCCACTACCATCCCCGTGACGGCAGGGGGCAGAGTCAAGCAGGAAAGCAGAGAACGTAACGTCAGTGTCACATAAATAGAAGAAGAGTCCATTCAGCCATTACACTCTCTCTTACTCACAGCCAGGTCGAAGCCGCTAGTGGTGGAGGACAGGTCAACCCAACAAAATGTTATCCGTAAGAGTTGCAGCAGCTTTGGCCAGGAGCCTGCCCAGAAGGGCTGGATATGTAAGTATTTCAATCATAATATCTACATCTGATGGGACTGTTGCAGCAAATTAATCTAATATCTGTGTGAACCTTCTGGGTGTGAAGGGTAACGTTAAGGCCGCTAGCTGACTTATTAATGCGGCCTTAAACGCAGCTAAGTTCTCTTGTATAACGACTCGCGTCAGTTGCCTTCAAATTGTTGCATTACGTATGTTTGTCGAAGTTGCCCTTGTGAGACGACATTCTCCGTCCTGTAGCAAGCGGCGCTAAAGTTAGCACGCAATGCTACCGCTAGCTATCAGCTAACGGCTCATTCAGCCACGCTTTGAAGGTCAGGAAGCCTGACAGCGCACGTCGTCTCCGCTGCGCAGCGCTACTCCAGCTCAGCTTTTAAAGTGCACATTTTAACTGTCGCTGCAATATGTGCGGGAAACCTTTTATTTGCAATTAATTAAATACGTCTGTTCAGGTATCCAAGGCTCTTCCGGCCGCCTGCGTTGGAGTCAACCACCTCCACACACACAGACCATTGCTGCAGAAGACAGGTGAGACAAAAACAACATGACAGATACTTTATCCTCTGTGCTTTAGGTCGTCTCCCAAAGGTGATTAATGAAGGTCACTGATCATACTGTGTGTAAAGAGCTTGTCTTTGTAGTTACTGGGTCAAACGAACAGAATAGCATTCTACAGGTTTACATGTTTGTCTGAAATTTCTAGACAAACATGCTCATCAGTATTCGTGTATACCGTTATGAAGCTTTATATAAATATACACGTGTGTAGAAGAAACAGGCAACATCAGTATCTTTGACTTGTAATCAATATTGTTACATTTGTGTTAGCCTGTACAATATTTATCATAAACTAGTGGTGGATTATTTTGTCTGTAATCTTGATACTAGAAATACTCAACTCTTTGATTTAATTGTAATTAATTAAGAGATATCGCAGTATTATAACCAAATACCTAAATTTCATCTAGTTGAGAGATTAATTTCCCCTAAATTTGATATTTTTTATAATTAATCTGGGATAATCCAACACTTTGTTGTATCATTTTAAAATGAACATGACTGTCTAATCAGAAAGTGTTTTTCATTGTTGCTGAGCGAGATCCTATAATGTCTTGTCTTACACAGGCACTGCCGAGGTGTCTTCAATCCTGGAGGACAAGATCTTGGGAGCTAACACCTCTGCCAACCTGGAGGAGACCGGACGCGTGCTGTCCATTGGTGACGGTATTGCCAGAGTGTATGGGCTGAGAAATGTCCAGGCAGAAGAGATGGTGGAGTTCTCCTCCGGACTGAAGGTATCTATAAAAATACATTATAAAACGGATGTTTTGTTTCCAGGTTGTGCTCTAAACGCACTGATTTTTAAAGCTACACTTACCCAACAGTATTATAGATGTGTATCCGCCACAGTGCAGTCATCTTGAATTAACAAAAGCAAAAGAACATTGTGTACCTTTTTCCGAAACTGAAATGCTCCAAAACCTTGACTAGCCAACACCTTCAGTTTAGCTTCATTCATACCTTTTTATTTATATGACAAAGCCACCAGTGTAAAATGGTCATTTTCCCACCAGGGCATGTCTCTGAACTTGGAGCCCGACAACGTTGGTGTTGTGGTGTTCGGTAATGACAAACTGATCAAGGAGGGTGACATCGTGAAGAGGACCGGTGCCATCGTGGATGTCCCTGTTGGTCTGGAACTGCTCGGCCGTGTGGTGGATGCTCTGGGAAATGCCATTGATGGAAAGGTGACCTGAGCCACTATACTTTATGTTTTAAGTAGAAAATCAAATTACTGTAGCTTGGGCTTAAGTTTTGATCTGTCAGACCAGTTTGTCCTAACTGGCATCTGTTAAAGCAAGATCAAATTTTGCTGTTTTTTCCAGTCTAATTGGTTGACTTAGTGTTGTACAGCTGTCTAAACACAAACAATGCTTAAAACTCCAGTTACCAATTTGATCCAAGTTAAAGTAACACATTAGAATTGTTGCTTGTTTACTTTTTGTTTTGTTTTTTAATAGCTTTATTTGCACACTTGTCGGTACCTTGATATGTGGGTTTAGCTTTTAAAATGCATATTTATTTTGACCTCAGGGTCCTCTGGGCAACAGCACCCGTAGGCGTGTGGGTCTGAAGGCTCCTGGTATCATCCCTCGTATCTCTGTGAGGGAGCCCATGCAGACTGGAATCAAGGCTGTGGACAGCCTGGTGCCCATTGGCAGAGGCCAGCGTGAGCTGATCATTGGTGACAGGCAGACCGGGTAAATACTTTGACAAACATTTTTATGCGTCTTTGGACATGCAAGCATTTCATGGATTAAAGGGAGCTAAAGCCTATGTGCAATTTTAAAGTTGCTAAGTATGCTTTTTAAATTGATTTTCATTCTCCAGCAAAACTGCCATTGCCATCGACACAATCATCAACCAGAAGCGCTTCAACGATGGAACTGACGAGAAGAAGAAGCTGTACTGCATCTACGTCGCCATTGGCCAGAAGAGGTCCACTGTCGCCCAGCTGGTGAAGAGGCTCACTGATGCTGATGCCATGAAGTACACCATTGTGGTCTCTGCCACCGCCTCTGATGCTGCTCCTCTGCAGTACCTGGCCCCATACTCTGGCTGCTCCATGGGAGAGTACTTCAGAGACAACGGCAAGCATGCCCTGATCATCTATGATGATCTGTCCAAGCAGGTGAGGATGCAGATCGCTGTTGTAAAATGAAACTGTCATAGCTTGAAATCACATTTTGGAAAATATCTCCTGGATGAATATTAGAAATTGAATCAGTATTCCCGAGTGCAGCCATGGTAAATCTTCTTTTTTTCCCTCTCAGGCTGTTGCCTACCGTCAGATGTCTCTGCTGCTGCGTCGTCCTCCCGGTCGTGAGGCTTACCCCGGTGATGTGTTCTACCTGCATTCCCGTCTGCTGGAGAGAGCTGCCAAGATGAACGACAACTTCGGCGGCGGCTCCCTCACTGCCCTGCCCGTCATTGAGACCCAGGCCGGTGACGTGTCTGCCTACATCCCCACCAATGTCATCTCCATCACAGACGGACAGGTTCGTCCAAAGATGTCATTAATATTATAGGTTGGGCTTTGGCCCGTACATGAAACACTCTACGTTACAATGCTCTTCTATTGTGATGTGTTCGCTGTAGATCTTCTTGGAGACTGAGCTGTTCTACAAGGGTATCCGCCCAGCTATCAACGTGGGTCTGTCTGTGTCCAGAGTAGGCTCTGCTGCCCAGACCAAAGCCATGAAGCAGGTGGGTTTCATTTTTAAACACTTCACAGTAAATCGTTAAACAGTTATTTTTATTTTTTTTATTAAAAACAAATCCTGCATTTCATCAAATAGAGGCTGTGATCTCCAGCATTATAAATCATCTTATTTCTACCCTGTAGGTGGCCGGTACCATGAAGCTGGAGCTGGCCCAGTACCGTGAGGTGGCTGCCTTCGCCCAGTTCGGCTCTGACCTCGACGCTGCCACCCAGCAGCTCCTTAGCAGGGGTGTCAGGCTCACTGAATTGCTCAAGCAGGGACAGTACTGTGAGTGTCAACTGTCCAACTTTCCTATTTCTGTCCTCCAAGAAGTAGAATATAAATGCTATGCTGGTATTGTACGTCTTCCAAACAAAACTGTTTTCCCCCCTCCAGGTCCCATGGCCATTGAGGAGCAGGTAACGGTCATCTACGCCGGTGTCAGAGGTCACTTGGACAAGATGGAGCCCAGCAAGATCACACGGTTCGAGAAGGCTTTCCTGCAGCACGTCCTCGGCCAGCACCAGGACCTGCTTACCTCTATCAGGTGAGAAGTAGTCCTTTGTCGCAATATGTTTGATCAATGAAAGTGGGTATTTGCAGTGTTCTAAAAAGTGCTAAATTGACCTTTTTTCTGTTTCAGGGTTGAGGGCATGATCACAGAGGCATCAGATATTAAACTGAAGCAGGTTGTACTCGACTTCCTGTCCAGTTTTGAGTAATGGATCGCGCCTCCATTGATCTTCAGTGAGCTACCTGTCTGTGTCCCCAATATGCTTCTACATGTGAACACACTGAAGGCCGAAACCTCCATGTACAGATTTCTCCAAATAAAATTTTACAACCCTACTGTGGTGTAAAATTCTTCTGATTGTGAGCAGTAAGTTTAGTGTTTTAGGTTGGTTCCCTGTGAGCAGATTTCACCAGTGGCAGAGGAGTAATGACTTGTGTGGGAAGAACAAACACAATATGTTTCTTTAAACACATTTAATGTACTTTTGAATTTGTTTGCCTAATATCACAGTGTACCAAAAGAAAAACGTAACATGGATAACAATCCAAACACCACAGTCTTGAATTCTGTTTACTGTTACGAGTTGTTCATAAGAGCATTATATTTAAGAGGGCAAATGTTTAGGCATTACGGTTTTTGCTCCTCACTGTTTCAGAGGATGGAAGGACTGTAAGCCCCGTCTCAACTGTGGCTGAAATGTTTAATACCATGGAAATAAATTGAGTGACGCTGTCACACATCAAATCCATCTTGTATTGTCCTGTGTTATATCTTGTGGCAAGTCTGGCCTATCAAACTTTAAGTACGTGCCGTAACTCGCAAAGCACATTTATTTTACATTGCATTTGAAATAGAGTGAGGACTCTGTTTTCTGTTGAAGGTGATGGAAAGTGTTAGGCCCAAGTGTTGCAACTTAAACTTTATAATCATTTACATTAGATACATGACATTTTACCTGCATTCTACCCATCCTTGGCTTATTGGGAGCAGTGGGCAACTAACGATAACCTTTATCAACTGATCACAGTACTTTATCTATTGCAGCATGTTTTTAGTCCAAAAGTGCTTCAAATTATTTTTTATTTTTTTGTTTTTTTTTGTCTGGCTCAAAGATAAAAATGTATCCTCCTATAAAACAGAAGCTGCTAATCATCTCATTTGCAAAGCTGTGGCCAGAGAAGGTTTTGTATATCACTGAGAAGATGTATACATTAATTGCTCTATTTCTAAGCATTTAACTTGATGCTTGTAAAGAAAATAGTGTAGCTCCTTTGTATCATCCATGTCCAGTAGGTGGCCATAGATGCCACTCGGTAAACGGAGCCGCTCAATGTTTCTCCTTCCAAACCTTATTTGAACATCTCTCACTGATGGTGGACTGCATTCAAACCTAGTTGCTAGAGGGGCCCACTGTTTGGTATTCAGTTATTTTTTTTAATGCTCTTATCTTTTTTATAAACATGTCATTCTCCATCGCATATAAGCATGATGGTGCAGCAAAGACGTTCTCTCCCATCTTACTCACTTGCTCCTTACTTTGATCTGTTATATACAAGTATACAACCAACGCACCAATTGTTACAGATGAAATGGGAAACTTGAAGGTTTATTAAAGAAATCATACTGGCTGACAGTGTTGGGCGTGATTTTATTGCCACCATGCACGTTTGTCATGAGGCATCAGGTGCAGTGTTCTTGTGTAACAGCCTGTATGTTCATAGCTGTATTTACATAACAATTTAAAGTGAACCCGTATCACGCTGTCCAAACTTCTATTCACACCTCCTTTCCCAATGTTGTACTTCTCTTTTTTTTTTGTCGCCTCTCAAACAGTAACAAGATGAGTGAAACAGTCGAGTGGTTTGTTCTCTCTGGGTTACTCCATGTGAAACTCTATCAAAGACCACTTACGGATCCCTTTGCATCCATTATTTTCTCCCATTTTTTAAACTGTTAATGGACTCCTGTTACGTGAGGTTATTTGAGTAGTCATTCTCTCAAGAAAAGTGGGCTGGAAAAGTAAGTGTAGTGTGAGGGGAATTCAATTCATGATGTTTCAGTGTCAATTCTTTAAAAGCTGCCACTGTATTCTCAGTCGCTTGTTTCTCCAGTGGCATCACTGCTTGGCAAGATAAAGTGAGACATGTGACATGTGAGAGTGAATGGAGCTGCTTTCAAAACAGGCTATTGTCGAGGTCAGCGTGACAACAAGAGAGAGCTCTGTGGAGCAACACACAACATGATCGGTCAGATTTCAGACGTGAGGGAGGTAGAAGTGATGCTACAGCGACGCGAGCAGTTTCACATGACAAAACGAACTTGGTGTCATGATCCAGTATTTGTGAAATATTTGTATAATGATTTAGCAATAGTCTTCAAATTCCCTTTGTTAGTGATATAGCAGAATATTCCCTAATGCTTATAAACGGGCTCTTTTTATTTTTAACAGCTTTTTGCAATTTCCCCAGGAAATCCCACCCAGCATTTCAAACTGCCTATTTCTACATCCCCGCTCAGTTCTGCTTGCATGCATACTTACAAATTGAAGTGCTTGGGAAGGAATCTATACAACACCCATTCATGTCATTCCCTAGATGGGACTAGCGCTAGTGCTGTTTGGCCTCCAAATCAAATTTGCTTAATAAGGTCAGCAGAGTTCAGTCAAGCAAGAGACAATGGTAAGTTTCTCTGAGGGACTTTCCTATCAACATATTCCTAAAAATGACATGCTAAGGTATGGCTTTAACTGGCAGTTATAACTAAAGAGTTAATGGGAACTGAAACTTGGAACGTTTCCAATGAGAGAACAGGGGGAAACAGAGCTGTTGTGAACTGAGTGTATGTATTGTAGATTAGTTAAAGTGTCGTGTTTCTGTGGGGACGTCCAGTGGATGATGGGAAAGATGCCCAAAGGGTCGTATGGAGGAAAAAAGTGTTGGTTGTATTAGGAACAAAAAACAGTGCATGGACAACATAACATCATATCAATTAAACGTGAATTTAATTACATTGATTGTCAGTCTTTGGCTGATGTGAGGTGTTTGTTTAGTTTTCAGGCACAGGATAGAGCTCTTGCTATTATGATGCTGAAGAATGCAGAAGAATCCCAATAGCCCTGCTGATTCTATGAAAGTGTTTTTGAATGGAGCCTGTATTGTTGACATTGATGAGTGTGGTTAACTGCTGTCACTGTGTGTTAAACTAAACCTAGTTCACTGTAATAGGATTTAAACTCTAAAGCAGATCTTCATCCTAGACATTAGCAGCGAAGGATCAGCGCCTGTCTGCTGACAGTTCCCTTTGGTGAAGACAAGCCGACCTCTTTGTGTTAGAACCTGCAAGAATATGCAGCGATAGTCTGTTTCTTTTTACTGATACCATCGGGATAATGAACAAGCATGTTTTTCCACTGACATCACAACATTTGCATGCTTGTGGTTTCCGTGTTAACTCAACAGGAATCATTTCCCTTCTTTGTAACAAAGTAGCAAAACAGAGCTCTCTTTATTTGTCACACGTCTTTTTCCCCAGTACTGATCAAAACAATACAGTTTAAAGCGGCTGCATTGACAAAAAAAGTAGCGCTTCATACAAAACCGTATATACATACATACATACATATATATATATATATATATATATATA